ACCATCAACAACAAATCGAACTCCTTTTGGATCAGCCCCTTTAGCAACAAAGGATTTCACCGTATCCGATCTGTTTCTACCAGATACAACAGTGTGGGATAGGCAAAAGATCGAAGAAATATTCCCCAACTATGCAACATAAATCTTGGGCATAAAGCCGAGCCACATTGGAGCTCCGGACAGGCTGGTCTGGAATGGAAAATCAACCGGCGCATACACAACAAAAACATGATATTTTACAGCCTTAGAGAAGCACAAATTAGAGGACATACAACAAAACTCGGCCGATTTTAACTGGATCTCGAATGTCTGGATGTAAAACGTAAGTCCAAAGATCAAGCTCTTCCTTTGGAAGATTGCAAACCAAGCGATACCAGTGGGAGAAAGGCTAATGATCAGACATGTCCCAGTAGATCCGTTATGCAAAAGATGTGGAGAAGTCGAAACTATTTCTCACATTTTCTTCCAATGTTCATTCTCCCAGCAAGTATGGAGATCATCCCCCTTCACCTGCGTCACGGAAACAGAATCATGGAATGATTATAAACAAGCTTGGGAGATAATTAAAAAGAAGATATGCCTCCCACCGACTTGTTTAGCGTTGGGAGTTGGGACCATTGGCACCTTGGATATTGTGGTCTTTATGGATTTGCAGGAGTAAGCTAATCTTTAACAACAAGATTATTACAACAGAGGAAGCTCTCACGGCAGCCATCGTAATGGCTAAAGAATGGACTAACGCGCAACAAACCTTACCAACTCCAGTTCGAAGGAAGCCTCTACGTATCCGGAAGCCTGAAGCCGACACTATCATTTGCCAATCCGATGTCACGTGGAATACGGAAACCAAAACAGCTGGGTTGGGATGGATTATAAAATTGCAAGGAGCCAGACCTTTGGGACAGAGCAAAAACAGAGACCCATGTATGCTCCCCCCTCATGGTCGAGGCTTTAACACTAAGAGAAGTTGTCTCTATCGCCATGGAAAAGGGTTTAAAAAAACCGAGATTTGAGTCGGACTCATTTCAACTTATCAACACCATCAATTCGGGAACCTCTCTCATGAACTTATATGGTATCATCGAAGACATAAAGGCTTTTGCTGAAACCTTCGAACATGTCTCTTTAGTTGTATTAATAGGGAACAAAATGTTATGGCTGACTGCCTTGCAAAACAAGATTTGAGCTCTCTACTTGTAAGGTCAGGATAACATTAATGAAAAGCTTACCCCTTTGATCAAAAAAAAAATCATGTGATAGTGGTTATCATCACCATATTGCTAAGCAAATAAACATGTAGGGTTTAAGTGGTAATAACAAATCAATTGAACTAATTTTTAAGTAACAAAAGTTGGAGTCTATTTTTTTAATTATTCGTGTTGCGAATTTAGAAAATGAAATTATCGTTTAACGTTTTCGCGAAATTCGTATGAACAAACTTATAATTACGTTTCCGACATGTCGATAGGAATAAAACAATATTCCAAAATCTATTATTATTACACTTTATACATTAATGCACATCATACCCAAACCCGCTACACAGTTTCCATACAAATGAACAGTCCATATATAGCATAGACACATGGAAGATAATTTTGTTTTTCTTGCAAAGTAAGAATTTACTACATTTTCACTTGGTAGGGGAACAATTCGCGTAGATGCAATACGTGCATGCATGTAGAAATCATATCAAATTAAGAAGAAAACGACAAAGTTACAAAGGTTAAGTATGTAAAAAACGTTTGATATACCGGACAGCCCATAGGAAAAAAAAAATTGATATCAAAACAAAATACCTTTTTTTTAATGTTGGAACGTAGCAATTAA